CTGAATAGGTCTAGCTGATAGCTCCTGCACATGACTGGAGCTGCTTCCGTCTTGCCTCCAATGGACTTTGCTTGTTACTCTTTTTGTACTTCATCTGCCAAAAGCCTCAGCCAGCATAGCCAGTGATGGTGGATTCTGGGTGCTGACATTCAAAACATCTAGAGAATCAAAGGGTGAGAACTAGTGATCTAGACTAAATCCTGGAGCAGATTCATTGGTCCCTAGAAGCCTTCACCTTCAATTGGTTTAGGTAAGCCTCTCTTTGCTTCACTTTCCACATGTGGTCTGACAATAATGTTGTTGTTGTTGTTGTTGTGTTCCTTCAAGACATTTCTGACTTATGGTGACCCTAAGGCAAGCCTACCATAAGGGTTTGGGCTTTTTTGGGTTTTTTGGTTTTGTTGGTTTTTTGTTGTTGTTGTTTTTGCAAAATTTCTTCAGAGAGAGTTTTGCTAGTGCATCCCTCTGAGGCTGAGAGTTTGTGACTTGCTTAAAGTCATCCAGTGGGTTTCCATAGTTGAGTGGGGATTCCAACCCTAGTCTTCACAGTCATAGACCAATGCTCAAACCACTTCACCAAGAATATAAGTTGAGTATCCCTTATCCAAAATGCGTGGGAGCAAAAGTGTTTCGGATTTTAGGGAAAAAATAATTTTGTAATATTTGCCTATACATAATGAGATACCTTAGATATGGGACCCAAGTCTAACCAAGAAATTCATTTATGTTTCATATATGCCTTATACACATAACCTGGAGGGAATGTTATGCACAATATTTTTTAATAATTTTGTTCATTAAACAAAGTTTATGCACACTGAACCATCAGAAAGCAAAGGTGTCACTATCTCAGCCACCCTTGTAGACAGTTTTGGATTTTCGAGTATTTCTGATTTCCGGATGAGGGATACTCAACCTGCACTGGCCTATTGGACATGGTTGCTGTAAAGAGTATGATGATGTTCATCAAGGAATTTAGAGTGTTCCAAGTACTGTAATAAATTATTAAATGTCCACAAAAATGATTGACCCAGCTGCCAAAACAGATTTGTAGCCTCATGAGGCAGGGGTAAAGAGAGAGACATAAACAGGAATTTTCTGAAGTTTTCTTGCCTGATTTCCTTGGAAGTGTTTTTTTTTACTACAGGCAAGTCAAGAAATGGCTTTTTACAAGCTGCATTAAGCCTCCTGTAAGCAGAATGCTGGAAGCAATGTTGCTTCTGAGAGCATCCTCTTCTCCACTTGTGGAAAAGTGCCAGGTTTTGCCCTCCTCTGCAACTTTTCTGAAGAAAACTGCAATCAAAGCGATGGGACTTTATGGCACGCATAAGAGGAATACTGAAAAATTACTCTGAGTTGAATGTTCTTAAAAACCATGCAGGCGAGCAGGCTGTAAGAGGCATGCTTTGGGGAGTGATCAGGTATACACCCATGATACACATCTTCTGAGTGAGAAAGAAAGAAGAAAAAAATGAAGGCTATTATAAAATAACTCTGTTGGAGAAAATGCATCTTATGAAGCATTCATGGATTCAATACTGAAACCCAAATGGCCTTTGCTCAAATAATCCAGCCAACAGATTAGCCTGTAGATTAAAGAGTCTTTCCTCCTTGGTGCAGTGAGTTTTTGTATGGACCCTTCCCTTGTGTGTTGGTTTGGTTTAGCTAGATCTAAGGTACCAGTGGTTGGTGTATGTGTGGGTTGCTTCAGGTTGCTTGTCAACTTATGATGAGCCCATGAATTTCATAGGCAAGGAATATTCAAAAGATGGTTTTGCGAGCTCCTTCCTCTGAAATATAGCCTATGGCACCTGGGATTCAGTGGTGGTCTCTCATCCAAGTACTAACCAGGGCCAACCCTGCTTGACTTCCAATATCAGGTGGGATCTGATGCTCTTAGGATATTTATGTGAAACCTCTCTGTGTGTAGGTGGTTTCAAGTTGCCTATTGACTTATGGTAACCTCATTAATTTTTCATAGGGTTTTCTTAGGCAAGGAATACTCAAGAGGTGATTTTTTTGCCAGTTCCTTCTCCTGAAAGGAGGAAGTATTTTTAAATGTGTTTTGAACAGTTTTAACTCTGTGCTTTTAATAGAATTGTTTAATTTAATAAAAAAAATGTGTAATAAGATTTTTAGCTGCTTTTTGTTTTAATTTGTTCTAAGATACCTTTGTTTCCATGTTGTGGAAAAGGTAGATATAAAGTAAATAAAATACAAAGTGGTTTCAAACTACCATAACTGCATAATCCACCTCAGTCTCCATCTTCTCTGCCCTGGATTTGCATTAATGGTTTTAGATGCTTCCTTCAAGTCACCTGTCAACTTATGGTAACCCCATGGATTTCAGAGGATTTTCTTGGGCAAGGGATACAGAAGAGGTGGGTTTGCCAGCTCCTTTCTCTGAAATATAGCCAATGGTACCTGGGATTTGTTGGTGGTCTGCCATCCAAGTACTAACTAGGGCTCACCCTGCTTATAAAACAAGAACAGTTGTGTTTTATCATTGCCTACACCAGGTGCTATAGGCTACATTTCAGAGGAAGGAACTGGCAAAACCACCTCTGTGTATTCCTTGCCTAAGAAAATGCTTTGAAATTCATGAGGTCACCAAAAGTTGATAGGCGACCTGAAGGCACATAGATAGGTACACTTTGCCTTTTAGAGGTGTGTGGGAGTGACCCTGGAGAAGGTCTGGATTTCCAGTGGGATTGATAGTTGATCCTTCCATTGCTGCTTAGGTCTTCCTAGGTCACAACCAGCACTTTGAATTGTGTGCAGAAGCCAGCAGAAAGCCAGTAAGGTCTTTCTGGATTCACTGGAATACATTCCCTGCCAGCTTCACTGCTTCTTGCCTTCAACTAATTGGGAGTATTTATGTGCTGATACCATCTGTGACTCTATTTACATGGCCAGCTTAGATCATAAGCTTGACAGAGACTTGGGGCCTTTGCAGACTGCCAGAAATAGTGCAAATTGAGCCCACTTTAAGGGTTAGGGTTAGTGCTAGGGAATCATGGGAATTGTTGCTGTTTTTCTGAGACATTGAGCCTTCTCTGTCAGAGAGCTCTGGTGCCACAATAAAATACAGTTCCCATGATTCCCTAACCCTAACCCTTAAAGTGGACTCAATTTGCACTATTTCTGGCAGTCTGCAAAGGCCCTCACTTCCTCTTGTGAGTTGCCTCTGCCCCATTGGTTCCTAGTAGCCATTGATTCAGACCTAGATTTGATTTTACAGACTGATGCTTTGTGTTAAGCCAAATCATGGGTGGGCTTCCATTTGCCCAGTCCCAATCCTTAACTTATATGCAGACAATGCCCCTTATCTTGATAGTAACCCTGAGGAAATAAGTGTGAATCCATACTGTGTGGCCCTCCCACTCAAATGTGTATATGTGTGCACATAAGCACACCTATAAGTTCTCTGTTGACTTATGGCAACCCCATTGGGTTTTCTAAGGCAAGGAATACTAAGAAGTTGTTTGCCAGTGTCTTCCTTTGAAATATAATATGGTGTAGTGTTCCAGGTATTGGACTCGGACTCTGGAGACCAAGGTTCAAATCCCTGCTTGGCCATTGGAACCCACTGAGTGACCTTCATAGAATCATAGAGTTGGAAGAGACTTCAAGGGCCATCCAATCTAACCCCATTCTGCCATACAGGAATACACAAGCAAAGCATTCCTGACAGCCAGCCATCCTCTGCTTTAAAAACTCTATAAAGAAGGAGACTGCACCACATTCTCAGGGAATCAAACAGCTCTTACTGTCAGGAAGTTCTTTCTAACGTTTAGCTGGAATCCCTTTTGGGCAAGTCACATCCTCTTAGCCTTAGAGGAAGGCCATGGTGAACCCTTTGAATGCATCTTGCCAAGAAAACTCCATGATGGGTTTGCCTTAGGGCTGCCATAAGTCAGAAATGACTTGAAGGCATACAACAACAACAACAACCCCTGATATTCCTAACTGGTCTCCTATCCAAGTACTAAGCTGACATTTTTCACTTCCTGCATAAGGCTGGTTCTAAAGGAAGTTCACTGACTGTGGTGACAGTGGCAACACATCTCCCACCAGAATCCCCTCCATGGAAATAAGTTCCTACTTTGTCATGCTGTGGAAAATGGTATGCATCCTTTCTCAGCTATAGTAATGGAGAGTCTGTTAAGGTCTTTGCTTGGAGTGATGAGCATCCAATATTATGGATTTTTCTGGAATTGGACACTGGACATGTCTATTTTTAAGTAGTTTGTCAATAGCTTTATCTCCTCTAGCCATTTGGTTGTTCTGACCCATATTTGACATGCCTACAAAGAAAGATAGTGGATGAATACACAGTCCCATTTCCAAAGTCATAGTTGTTTTAGGGCCCAACTATATGAGGTGTTAAATTTGCAGCTGCCACCGAAAATAGCTGCCACAACACCCCTTTACCTCCATAAGGACTAATACCATGTGCCCCATATTACATGGTATCTGGTGGCTTCAATGGTTTTGGAGTGATAGATCCAATCTGGGTTTCAGTGCAACAATCCAAGGGCCTGGGAGACTGTTCCCACAATGAGTTCAGCACCATGGACAGCATTTTTAGTGCCACAGTATTCTACAGAAATATGCAATCTGGAAAGAAAGACAGATAAGACTTTATCATTCTTCTATAATGTTTGAACACAGAATAAAAGTTGTTCAATGGTTTTGTTTAAGGCACAGTTGGATGTTGTGTGGTCCTCCAAACATGGTGAAACTCCAACTCCCAGCAGCCAGCATGATAGTTTGGAATTTTTGCTTGACCCAATGCTTCTATTACATAGCCAGTGTTGAGGAATGCAGACAGTTGCTGTCCAGCAACATCTGGAGGGACACAACATTTGCACATCTGCCTTCAAGTCATTTCTAACTTATGGTGACCCTATCACAGGATTTCCTTGATCAGATTTGTTTGGAAGAGGTTTTGCCATTGCCTTCTCCTGAGGCTGAGAGCATGTGACTTTTGGATTTCATGTCTGAACTGGGAATTGAACCCTAGTCTCCATTGTTGTAGTCCAACATTCAAACCGCTATACCATTCTGACTCAGGGCAAACAAAAAAAAGTGTCTTCTTCTCCCCTCCCTTGTTGGATTCTGAAGAGATATAGCCAAAGGTCTTGTTGGCAGTGGCCCATTTGTTCTTTTTGCTGCCCAGAGGCAAGTGAGGAAACTTGAATGGCTGCCAACAGAACAAAGATTCACGACGCTGAGCCTAAACAGTCCTTTGTTAGTCTGGAGCCTGTACAAACCAATTTGCAATTCTTTCCCCAAACACATAAATCTGACCAATTGAAGATCCAACCAATTAAGTATATTCAGTTCAGAAGTCTCCTGACTCTAAAGCCCATTCTGTTTTGCATGGGTGTCTCAAGTAACAAGTCTTCTCCCCCTGCCCCATCTGATCTTTATGTGAACTGTTATTGGCAGACCTCATTTTTGCTCATCCAAGTTGGTTGGGAAACCATTCTGTCCTTTTTTCTCATTTTGGCTCTCATTTTGCATCACTACTTTTTAAAAAAATACAACTTCCAGAATCCTCTACCTAGGCTGGCTGGGGGATTCTGGGAGTTGTCTTCAAAAAAGTGACATTTTGAAGATCTGGGCTTACATTGGAGTTTTGCATTGATACACAAGTGCAAACCCAGGTCTTCAAAATGGTACTTTTTTGGAATCCCTCAGCTGGAGGATTCTGGGGGTTGTATTCCTAAAAAGTAACATTTCCAAGCCCTGGGTCTGCACTCGTGCATTGAAGCGAAACAGAGGACTGCTCTAACCACTATGCCACAATGGTTCTCTTATCTCATGATGTACCAGTATTCCATTGTAGGAAGGTATGCCAAAATCCAAAAGAATCCAAAATCCAAAACACTTCTGGTCCCAAGCATTTCAGATAAGGGAGATTCAACTGTGGCTTAGAAAGCATGGACATTTACTGGCATATTCTGCTCAGAATGGCCACTTTTCATCCTGTTGATGCCGTATATTCCTCGCTACATCCTGCGATCATCTGCCAACACAACCTCGGTTTCCTGCTGGCTCGTGTCTGTTCCCTTCCAGGAAATGATGTCACCCACTGGCTTTGTATTTTTAGCCAATGGGAAGCATGTGTTTTGTTAATTGTGGAAGTATTTTTAGCTGAGAAAGTAGCCCTGCATGTATCTGTGAGAGAGAAACAGTGCTTTGATTCAACTAATTTAACAAATACTGCTAATTGTATTTAATTAGCAATTCCTTACTCTAAGCAAATATGTGGCCAGATGGAGAGGCTGATAAGAGTCCTTTGCTTTACTTCAATTATTGTTATTTTCCTGGGGGTTTTTTTACCTTTTTTGTTTGTTTTTGTGGATCTTGTGGATTATTTTTAAAAGCCAATAGACTGTCTATCAATGGGATGAGTCAGATTTTGCTCCTACAATGCTTCCTCAGAGACCAACTAGTTTACATTTGTTTTGCTACAACAGAGTATCTAAAGGTGTGTGGGCACTACACAATTGTAGCAGTTTAATACCACTTGAACACCTATGGTTCCATCTTGGCTGCATCCATACTGCAGAATTAATGCAGTTTGACAGTGCTTTCACTGCCGTGACTCAATGCTATGAACTTCTGGGATTTATAGGTTTGTGATTCAGCCTTCTCTATCAGAGAGCTGGGTTACCACAAAAGTATAAGAGCACATTGCCTGTAAACCTATCAATCTGTTTCTTGCGGGATGTTGGCATTTTGTTCCTGACATGGGGGTGATGTGGGTTCTTTGACCAAACTATTGGCACAATGTAGGATACCCTAAAGGCACCAGATTCTGTCTGATCTTGAAGCTAAACAAGGTCAGCCCTGGTTTGTACTTGGATAAGAGACCATTAATGCATACCAGGTGCTGGAGGCCATAATTCAGAGGAAGGAACTGGCAAAACCACCTACAAATACCTAGAGAAGTGTTCTCTCTAGGAATCTCTAGGTCCTCCAGTGCAACCCTGTGGTCAACTTCTGCCAGATTGTGGGAGCAGATGATTAAGAGGTGACAGGATGGTCAATTCCACATATTTGAAGGCTGCCACATAAACGATGGAGCACATCTGTTTTCTGTTGCTCCATATGGTCAAATCCGAACCAGTATTTTCAGACTTAAAAGAAACATTAGAAAGATGTTCCTGAACACAAGCTGTTCATCTGTGAAACACAATGTCCTGGAAGGTAATGGAGTATTTTTTGATAGAAATTTTCAAGTCAAGGCTAGATGATTGGCAATT